GTGAAATTGCATAAAATACGCCTTTGTACAAATGCCATAATAAAAATGATTCAAACAAAACACAAAATCTTACAAACAGCTTGGCTATTTATTCCTAAAAGAAGTCCAGAAGAAAGCGTTCGATAAGGGCAACAACTGCTCATGAACACTTCAAGTATACAGCCTAATAAAAGCAACTGCACAAACACTACATTTGATGATGTTGTCGGTTCATATCAAGCACCAACGATGGCATGAATATTCAACTTCCTATACTGCAATACACAATGTTTTAGGGATGCAGATTACCAACGAAAAATTGCGGCGACGATCATGGGGTACAAAGGGAGCTTATGGTTGCAAAACAGGTGGTGGGTAGCAGGCGTGCCCTGCAGGCGTGCGCTGCGCTCTGGCTATGGACATACCGGGTATGCCAGAAAGTGGTAATTGGCCAGATGTTGTAGCCCGGGCAGTTCAAACTCCTTCTGTGTCCTTCTTCCATGCATAAATGTACATGTTTGATTAGATTTGCATAAAGAAAACTGAAACGTGATGGTTATTACTAATTAACTTAACACGTTATTGTTATAATTTCAAATCCACAGTTATAATGGGGGGTGTGCTGCAAGTCCATCCCCCAAGGTCAGGAGAAATTCTGGTTTACTCCCCCACCAATTCAAGTTCCACACTGTATACAAGATACAGATATTTGGAACTGCATGTTATTTTCCAATATCTTATTAACTGCCTAAAGATGCCTAAAAGATCACAAATCTTTAGGCTAGTACATGTACATGCATGCATTATTGCATATCAAAATGTATTTTGGTGCACATATATTTATCATAACTTCTGTTCTAGAAGCCTTATGTAGGTGGAAGAGTATCATTTGCAAATGCAAATTCAAAGCCTTTCGAGAAGACATCATTATCAGTGATGATAAAATAACTGGCCAATAACTATGCCATTGTGAAATTTCCATGAATCTAGCTAATATACCAGCAGACTGGAAATGACTGTCATGACTGTGCAATGCCGTAACTGGTAACAACAGAATTTGGAAGTTGCATTAAGGTTGCAGAACAATAGCCATTTTAATCATGTCAATCTCGTAGAAAGGACTGTTTCCTTATTACACACGAAGGAAAAGGGTGCTAAAAAGGTATGGAACACTAAATTTGGGGGTCCAGGTGAAAACGTGAGGATTTTGATTGGGATATACATGTAGCTACATATACTTTGAGTGAAATCAATAAATGGTACAGAAGACCAATGAATGGTTCTAGAACTCCAAAATTGGGAGACCTAGCCTACATTTTAACTTTTGAATTCCCCTAGGTAAATGACTATAGGGCAGGGTTCAAGTTTGGAGTGAAATTATGAAGGGAAACTGTGGGTGTTTTAAAACAACACATGGTGAAGTCAAGTTTGCATGGCTGGTTTATCAGTAGAAAAGTCACATTTTCTCACAATTTACGATTTGAAATTTCAAAAAAACAGGGTAGGGGCAGTTCAGACAGCATTGCATTGGTTGCCTTTGTTAACGTTTTGGGGAATGACCAGTTTTGCACAGACAATTGACAGACATGACAGATTAAAAAAACGTGGGTGGTCCCCAAATTCACAATCAACGTTTAAGAGGCGATTTTATTCGTAGAGTTTAATTTTATAGCTCCATGGTAGTACTCAGACAACCACTACCATGACTACGAGTTGCTAGTTGACCTGCTTCCAATCACTGGCATGACTGGCGCGTCGTTTGGCATGATTCGACAATTATTGGTTTTACACTCAACTTAGTTTTTACCTTCCTTCCAAAGTACAGAAGATTTCACTTTACAAATCACTTGACGTAAGAAAATGTCAGGAGCATCGTGCCCAAGGCAATCTAAAATATATGGCTGTTCCTGAACAAGACGCATTTATCGAAGTAACTCAGCAACATATCAGCCGTCCAGTCATAGCAGCACGTCTGGGCCCATCTAGTTTGTGTCGAACGATATACATGTACATGTATACAAGAAGTTAGCAATGTTTAATTTTGTTGATTAACGTGCGATACGGAGGATTGGTACTCGTGTATGCAATTTGACACCATACACCACAGCAAGCAGCGCCTCGGGACCAGCGGAAATTGTGTTCAGTACCCAAACCTCCCACTTCCAAGAATAACGGCTTCAGACTGATACCCAAACAAGACACCTTTCTCATATCACGAAGTGGCATGGCGCATGGCAGCCACAACCAAAGATAGCCCTGTATGTAGCATTATTAAACCACAGCATACACGTTGCGCGTTTACTTAGTGGAGGTAGAAATGCTACATCTGACCATGCTTTAACAATTTTTTTTAAAAATCATGAGAAAATACAGGCTTCTCAGCTACTCAAGATAAACAAAAAATAGCGTATTTCCTCATCATTGCCATGTCAAAAAGTTTTTTGAAATCTCCATTTGAAGTGTGCGTCATGACATTGACAATGTCCGTAGGGGCGCACTGCACTAATTCAAGCCGCGTAAGTTCCGAGTCAGAGCCCCGTTGCGAGCAACCGAGGTCCCTGAGGCCTCTCAAATTAAACAATGGATTGTCGGGTCCTCCAGATTTCAATTGATTTTTAACTTTTAGCAGGATAACCAATTAGATTTTTAATTATCCACCAGAAACAACCNGTCCATCAGAACAGTTTTGTCCAAATTTTCTCAGAAACATACGCTGACATCCCTGCCGATCGTTTCCCAGCACCCTTCTTTTTAAATGTTTCACAAACTCCCCAGTACCATTTATACCAAACTATAAATGAATATGTGGATTGCTAATTTTCACAGTGCAGACAGTTTGACTCTACATGTGCTGATGACGTCACACTTTATTTACATCACGGTCCGTTGAGCACCATAGAAAAAACACACATAAGAGCGGTGTGGATGTCATCAGAGGCCTATTTGGGGCCTATTTACTTGCCTGCAATCCTAAGACGGTTCCTTCTTGTTACATGGAGCATAGAGCAATAGGAACACAGCTCAAGCTAATGGTTTTCATATAGACTTATGTGTTATTGATAAGACTCAAAGCTATGCATGGTGGAAGTACTAAATGTGTTATTGCCTGCTGTATAGCCCAGTCAATTTAACATGTCTGGCATGGCCTTATTGTAAGTCTTGGGTGAAAATGCTTTTCAGTTGTTATGTACAAGAATGGAAATAAAAAAAGAAATATTTGGGGAAGTGCAGTGCACTCAAAATGGGAATTGAAAATTACACAGGAACAAGTAGTTAATACTGAATTAGTTTTTAGTGGTTGGTCTCATGTCTCAACACAAAGGTAACATATGACATGTATGACTCCCACGAAATAAGCCCCTCCCATTAACTCTTGCTCTCAACATGTTAATATCAAATGCACACCTATGGTTTGGCATAAACGTATCTTGTTGGAAAGTCCTACACAAAAGGAGGTCCGAAAAACTAAACCTTTATTGTAAACCTATATACAAAATCTCAAACATTTTCCCAAGATGAAACTTTTGGAAGGATAACATACACAATTTTCCTTAGCCTTAGGTCAAATTCTGCTTTTTGGATGAATGTCGATAAGTGACCAAACTGGTAGTGGGTGGTGTTGAAGTGTGTTTAGAAGCATGGATTCTTTAATTTTACACATTATGATGGAAACAGGAGTCTACAAGCCTGTATGAGTTCCTACAAAGGGTGATCAAGCAATCTGTTCTCTCCCTTCAATATACATATACAATTTTGTACATCAACTAATATAAACTTAACATTTTCCAGATTTGCCCAACATTTCAAAAACCTATATGTATGGGTGACCTAGTAGTGTTGAGTACCTTTTTGGGGGTGCTGTATCCTGGACAATTAACATTCCTAAACCCAAGTTCCACAAATTTACCCCCTCTGGAGGCTGTCTGAACAGGGTAGGTCATATTTCTTCTTTACTGGGTTAAAAAAAGAAGGAACAGTTCAGATGCTCAGTCCTGAGACTTGAAGTCTTGGAGGAACAACAATTATATCTCAATCTGGAATGCATCAGAACATTGCATTTGACCAGAAATGTCCAGTCTTTGAAATCACAGACTGCTAAGCTCCAGAGCATCTATTCCGAATTCCTCATTTTGGATTCTGCTGGTTCTGCTGTACAGGCTGCAATGGTTTCTGTTCTTGTTGTTGCTGTTGCTGCTGTTGTGGTGGTGGTTGTCTCAATTGCTGCTGCATCTGCTGTTGTTTCTGATGCTGCTGCTGTTGTTGGAACTGTTCAGCTGCAGCCTGTTGTAGTCGCATGCGTTTCCTAGTATAATGTTGCCAATGTAACAGCTGCTGGTCATCGATAAATTGTGCACATTGTGCATTGGCCAGTTCCTTACGAAAATGTTCATATTGTAGAAGCTCCAAAAAGTGAAGACATTGGGGATATCTGTGAATTGTAATCACAAAATATACAACTAAACACTTTGCAACAAACCATACATGAAATAAACCTCAACTTCCCAGCAGATTTCAAGAACAAAGCAATACTGATCAGCGAGTATTGCCACATTCTTTGTGCCACTAAATAAAATGAACTCTCAGGAAACTACAACTAAAATTCAAACAATTGGAAATATGAATTTAAAAAAACTTCATCTATCTTCCCAAGTTCAAAATGGCATGCAATTGAAAGGAGAACAAGGGGGGGGTTGTCAGGAGACTAAACCAATATCAAAACAATCACCTGCTTCTGTCATTTGGATTGGTATACATGTATATCAACTTCAAAGTGAATGAGGTAAGGATTACCATGTGTATACAACTTACATGTAGAAACAGCTGCTACGACAATACCATCATTTTACTACTGTTCATGTGTGTATCAGAGGTTTAGAGCTGTAATGAGTCACTAATTTTTGTGACTTGAGTGGTGTCCTTCTAATGTCGTGACTTGAGTCGAGTTAGACAAAAAAGAGTCAAGTAGAGTATTTACCTAAAGTCAAATGGAGTCACAAATATTTGAACACAATAGGACAAGTAACAGTTTGAGATGATGGGGCAGCCGATATACTGATCTTTTTCACTGTATTGCTAGTACTTAGAACTCATGTATGCATACATGCTCAGAACACCACCTGCATGCTCAGAACTGGTAAAAGGCCCAGTATGCTTGCTTATCAAGCATCTGAAAGCCTCGTATTAAACCCAGGCAACCTATTTCGACAATTTCAAAGTATCTCACAGGACCTGACTTGATCTCAGTGTTTAGCGACTGGACTCATTGTAAGACTTAAATAAAATTTGAGACTTGTTCATTAATTACCAGTCCAACACTGCCTTCTTCTCTCAGGTACAATTTACAATACCATCGTTACTGTCAGCAACACAGTCAAGGATTTCCTCTCCTTCCCTAATTGTCTTTCAATAAGTAATAAAAACTGTTATGAAATCACTGTTGGAAACAATCACATCATGCAAAGGGAAACAAGAATAAAAATTAGGATGAACTGCAATATTCCAGCTCACAACTTACTTGAGGTATTTGGCAAACTGTGGCTCTTTCCAATACTGTAAATATTTCAGATAGTTGACAAACTTGCTATCCTTGAAATATCCTCGTTGTGCAATGACTAAAATTAAAGGAAATACACAGAAAGAGACAGATATGGGTAAAAATGTTGAGAACATCTGCAAATGTGCATGCTGAACCATGTTTCAACTGATTACGATAACTGCACAATGTGGGTAATACAAAGAAGTAAATAACTGAAACTTTGACCAAATTATTATATACTTACAATTTAAATAGTGAGGATTGGCCAGGCATTGGACAAATTCAAGCTCCACTTGAAATCGGGTCTTGTCAGAATCCAGGCTCTCTGATGAAAAAAAATACAGTACTAATGTCAACTGCAGACGGTTTCATAGCACAACACAACATAATTAGATTTTGTTTTCAAGAACACTATATCACTGACAAAGCAGAGATTAATAGGTAAGTTGTTTCCAATAATTATATTAACCACTTGGGCAAATTGACATTGAAAAAAGTTACACTACATGTAGTTGTCAGTTTGCAAGGAAACATGGATTACAATAAAACTCCGCATATATGTACTTGATACATCAAGCAGGACAGCAAAGAAACCTGTCCAAAATGATTGCTATTTTTTCATCCAAAGGGTGTGTAATGTGAACAATTAATTGCATACAACTGCAGAGACCATGTACGCATTTTGGTTCAGAAAAATCTGTGGAAAGTTTGGTAAATGTGCTTGCTGCAGAATGCTGTAACTGTTGATTTCACTTCTTTGTAAATTTCAAGCCAGTTTAACACCCATACATGTACATACCACAGCAGTACAAGTTTAAAAAGCTTATCAAATCAAGTCAAGTTTATTATCTCTCTTAATACCAGTCCACGGTTAAGAGAGATAATAAAATTGACTTGATTTGATAAACTTTGTTGTGGCCAGCGATACAGTCATCACAGTTTTATTCTCTTTGAACTGATTATAATTTTAAGCCTCATTTTCAGCCTCACACGTTCTTTGATCTATCACTGGACCGAGTACACTGTGAGACTAGTAAAAGGAGCCTCAGGTCACGTTCAAATTACTGGCTGCGACTTGAAATTGAACTCCGTGGGAACTGACCCCAGGTTTCGCACACTAATAGACTCACAAATAATATTACAAAGTGCAATGGATGTTGTTCTAGGGGTGCATCAGCCCTTGTGACTTGGAAATTGCAGGCATGTGAAAAAAACACTCCATTTCCAGGCATGCCATTTTTCTAGGGGTTTGATTTTGAAAAATGAATCAAAACCTTGGGTCAATCAAGACATGCTTGTAGTAAAATAGAAAGATAAAATTGGGTCAACATTACATATAAACTATTCAACAAAACCAACCCAAAATGGTGCAACAGTTTCAGATCACACCTGCTTACTTCAAGCAAACTCAAACAGACATATCCAATACATGTAAAAAGATTCAAAGTTTTATGACGGTCACAAAATCATGACCTTTCCTTAATAGCAGCCTTAACTGACCATGCAGAGTTCCTCTGACACAAGATCACTCTAATTCTCCATTAAATTTTTCCTGAGGTTTCTCTTCGCCAGATCTCTTTCCTGGAAGTTATTTCTGTTCACAACGTTAAAAAGTTTATTGGGAAACATCAGGATGTTTACGTATTTGCACACAAAAAATCTGCTGCGATCCATGCTGGCATCTCTCCATGGCTTTCACGCACTATGTGCAGAATGATTGACTGGTCTGGTCCCAGTCTCAATTCCAAAGGAATTCATTGTTTCACTACGTGTAGGGCGCAGAAGCCTGCATCATGAAAGCATGCCAACTTCTGGAGATCGTTCTGTGTAGATGTGAGTAAAAGCCCAAGTTTTTGTTGCGATCAGAACAACTTACAGGACAGACATCTCCACAAAAAACTTGGGATAATCAGGGAATTTATTGGGAAAATTTAACTGAAAACTGGTGTGATCTCGGGGCACTGCGTTTGACGTGTAGACACATGTAAAGCCATGTACAGTCTGGTGTATGTTGCATTACGCATGCAGCAACGTCTGCTGCTGCGCAGTGCGATGTGCTGAACGATTGTACACTGACAGAGCTGTTGTGCTCAACTATTTAGTCCCTTGTCCAGTGGTCTGAAGTCAATAACATGAAAAATGATGAAGCTGAAGTCTGCCAAATTTACATCAATGGAAATCAACTTTATGAGGGATCCCCCGGCTCCACCAGTTTTCAGCACATATAATCAACAGCTCCAGCAATCACAAACACTCAAACTCTTGGGTGTACACATACAGGAGGATCTCAAGTAGGATGCTAATGTTGATTCAATATATAACGAGCAAATGGACGGATACACATGATCCGTGTTCTGAAAGGCCATGGGTTATCCGTATAGGATCTTCTTAGTTTATAAGCAGTACCTGTGCCCCCTTCTAGAGTATGCTGTACCACTCTGGAATGGCGGAATAACTAAACATCATGCAAATCTTCATGAACGTGTACAGAAACGTTCACTCAAACTTATATTAGGATCCAATTATAATCATTATCAACATGCCCCAGGTGCCCTTGGTATACATGTAACTGCGTTGTGCGATATACGAACAGAGTTGTGCCTAAAATTTGCCACAGATGTGAAAGCAAACTTAAAGTTGAATCCCCAGTTGACTAAGCAATGATTAAGTGCTTTGAAATTCAGGAGTTCCTCAGTTGCAATGTAGAACAGATAGATTTGGGAAAATGGGAGATGCGTTACAGCTGCCGTAACAACAGCCGAGACATTTCTACGTTATGTAACAAGTCCAACATTAAGTTACGGTATGTGCCTATATCCGCCATTTTTGTTCTTGATGTTCTCCATCCACGTCCACTCCGCAGAAAGTGGGGGGTGAGAATCTTGTTCGCGAACGATGTTCGCCTGTTGATTCTACCCATTCGAAACCCCATTTTCATGTTCGTCTAACACGAGAACAGGGTTTCGAATACACCCCAAAAAACTCCAGTCCAGGCACCGCTCGCACTTAAATGACTTAGTGTAGTGCAGGTGCAACCATAGAACAGTATGGTAGGCCCAGTCTACTAGGCCTAGTAGTAGTACTACCTGTACCAGTACAACTGTACGAGCGGTTTTGTGGCATCTCCTTTAACACATTATAACTTCACAAGTCTGGGCCCATTATAAAAATAATTTCAGTTTTTAATTATAGTAAGACTTAATTAACTGATTCCCTCATATGTTGAGAATACAAATATTTCAACAGAATACAGCAAACGATGGAGGTAAACCAACCTGTCGACTGTACTACTGCTGGCGAAGCCGCCATCATCATGATTATTGTGTCGTCCTCTGGAATAACAACGTGTTATTTTGTAATAAGTCTAAGACCAATATCAAATATGACTTTGAATTTAGTTTAATCATAACAAAAAATTAAAAATATATATCAAAGTAATTGCAGGGCCGGGTATTTTGGGAATTTGTCATGTTTAATTCTATAAATTTGAAAATGAAATCAAAACCCGACGACTGTTTTACAAAGATTAAACAAATTGAACGAAAGAGGGCGCTGTCATAAATTTCTCTCCGCAGTTCCCGAATGGATCGGGGTAGAAGTCGGGCAAAATGAGATGGAACTCATCAGGCTGGCCTGAGCTGGGCTGAACAAACATGGAAAACGCAATGTTTCCACCTTTCATATTTAGTGACATCTATTATCTTTGTAATGTACCACACATTTTAAAGACGTAATATAAAACTCTCGGAGTAATGTTTTCACGGACTTGGCATCATAAAACTCAAAATTATCGTACGCCCAAGTTCTCAGTCGTTTGCTTTTTTGACATAATACAGTCGTACTTTGCAAACGGAATTTCTGATCGAAGTGTAGCAAACAACGTTGCTATAATTTCTTCTGCAAACCCTTAGCTCAGCTCTTCTGTCTCTTTTTTCTCCAGAACATGTTGCAGACAAGTAAACTGCCATATAGACAACAGTGATAAATTCCCATACTTCCCGGGAAGAAAAATGAAAATATTTCCAGAATTTGAGACAGATCAGAATAAAGTTCATTTAATTTTCTGTTCACCTCATGGTGGGCAGTCGTAGCTTGTGGGAACTCTAAGTAACTCCATGCCAAAGGGGTCTTTATATTCATCTCATGTCACCCTATTAAAAGCGTTGCAATCCCCCCCCCCCAGTCTAGAACTCTTTGTATTATCTCCCTGAATGTCTTTTCATTGTACAGGAGTGATTATTAGATTTTCTTTTGTGGTCTCTCATAAACCTTGAAGGATCTCCAAAGTTTGTAATACATTTTTCATCTGAATATCTTGAACTTGATTTTAGACTTTTTTACTTTATAAAAGATTTAAAAAATATAGGGGCCCAAAGTGTCATTTTCTGTGGATGTGACTCCAAGGGGTCCAATTGATTTAGAATTTGAACTTACACAAACCTGGTGATATAAGGGTTTTATTTAGTCTGTCATATAATTCCAACTGTGACGCCGCGCCCCTCCGACGAAGGCGAGGGCGCCCTCCTCCTCGAGGCGCGGCGCGTCGAACGGCACGCTGGAGATTCCCGGATCCTGAGCAGCTGGGGACGAGTCCGTTGGGACCGAAGTATACCGTCCCCCAAGAAAGTTGGTCTTCGTCGAGATGATGGCTAATCTGATTGGTCGAAACTTAATGACGAAACCCGGACAGACCTGACTTGAAATAAACTTCGCCTGGACACCTGACTATATACAACAATTAATAAGCGGCAGGTTTATTCATCAACACACTCAACCAATACATCAGTAGAGGGCGCTATTGACGGGGAGACTGTGTGATTATACGTGACCGGACTTCACCCAGAGCAGCGAACACCACAATTAATTGTGGGCATCCAGTGCCAAATCAGGGACTTTAGCAAGTCTACGGGGCTTATTGTCAGGGCTGAGCTACACGCAACTCACGTCACGAGTTAGCAATCCGCCCTTGCATGCATGGACCGCAAGCTCCTATCGGGAACTATAACCATAGCTATAACGCACCACTGACCAATTAGCCCCTCAACCTATCGAGCCCATCAAGGGCACACGCACCACTTGGACTTACGCACAGTCACACTAGGCTAGGTGACTTTAACCCTTGCACAGGATTCTCGACCCTTACCTCAGGATCAGCCCTTGATCAAAACGACTAGTCGGATCGTGCGCGCCTTTTGCTTTCGTGCTACTGTAACCACGCCCAACCAAGCGCTCACGTGACCAAGCAGTAACTTCTGTTGCCCTATCGCGCACACAACGCACAAGGCGGAGCCTATGCGCCGCGCTTGCTGAACACACAGCTATGCGCGCCTAACATCTGCCTCTGTTACTGGGAAGAGCGCTATCTATAACTTTGCACCGTGCCTCGTGACCAGCACCCTCTGTCACGTCACACAACTAACTGCCATAACATCAATCCAAGCTTGCTAGTTAAAAAAAAAACCCCAAAGTTAAATCTCTTAAAACTAAGGGAACTGATTTTGCAGATACGGCTTCTCCAACAGTTCCTCTGTGCAGCGCCCCCACATTATAGTACAAAAAGGGGGTTTAAATTTGTGCGTACTCGGACGTACGCAAAAGGCGATTACTGGCCATGAGCGACCACATTTGACAGGGGTCACTGCTCCGGACAAACCCAAATTATGGCTCTCCATCATTAAAGGTGACAATCGGGAATTTTCGGGAAACGTCAGATTTGGTAATGAAATATTTTTAAATTGGCAATAATCGTACATTGTCCTCTAAGTCGTTGGAAACACAGTAGTGTTGATAGCATCGATAGTTATCATACAAAATTTTGTTTATACATGTAATCGGCTTGGAGCATTACTTCGTGGTTTACAAACACTCATCAGCCGATCCGCTGCGTAACTCAACTTAAAAAGCAGTTGGTTGGCCAGGAAAGGCACATCGTTTCATTTAGTTTGTAAAGCAACAAATAGCGATTCACGGGGCCATGAAGTGTGGAATAACTCGAAGATCAAATATAAGCATTGTCCGCGATTTCCTCTTTGTGCAGCACACTTTCCTGTAAAAATATTTGGTCTTAATAACTTTCACATTGGATGTGTGAATTACCATGACGATTGCAGATGATGCAAATAATTATGAGAGCTGCATTCAAAGGAATAGTTGCCGTGTAAATACAGTGTCGCTAATTTTAGCAATTATTTCACGAAGTTTTGATATCAGATGCATGTTAGCGATATTTTTGGCCCTTTTTTTCTGGGCAACTTGCATGCGTCTTCCGCATCTTTATGAACCATAAAATGGGTGAATCGTGATTGGACAGTTAAAAAGTCACGCATGAAGTCATAATGACTCAAGACACATCTGGCATGCGCTACCAGAAGTGGACAGCACGGATGTCTTCCCTTTATGTTATAATAATCATCAGAAATCAATATGAATCGACCATCAGCTCGTGATAGGTTACGATTTGTTTTTATTAAACTATAATTACATGTCAAATGTCAAACTAGACATATACATTTGCAGGTCAATTATGTAACCTTTACTGTAAATGCATACGAAACACAAGATACATGTGACAACGAGTTACTTAGGTTGCATGCCTGTGTTACCATGCACACTCAGTTCTGAGGAGTTGTGATGATCGGTTCGTGTGGAATTTAGGAGATAGAGCACAAACCTTTCAAGAGCGTCTTTTATTTATTACCGAGAATTGTGAGGTCTCTATCGATTATCAGCTTGGTGTGTAGGATTACGCCATTCCATCTTAAGAGGATTAAGAGACTTAGCTACTGACTATTGTACAAGCACAGTAAGTGATAATACCATTGGCGCTATGTAAGTGTCCACTGAATATAACAGTAAAATCCTATATCTGCGATTAGGACTACAGCGGTAGATAAGCTGCCGAGTTTTACAAAGGAGTGTACAAACACTCCAGACTAAACGCAAACATGAATGGTCGAACCATAGCTGTAACTTAGGTGAAGGGCTAACATGTGGCTGAATTTTACAAAGTTACCTATTTTTTTGGTCCACGTACCCCTGCGTTTCCCTTTGCAATTGAAATAGCTTGGTCGCAAGGGCGTCGAGGGGGAAGTGGTCTGCAAGCCCCCCCTTCCTAGAGAAGATGAAAAACAAAAAGGGGAAGAAACGGGTAATGGGATTGAAGGCACTAGTTAGCTTGAAAAATCACAGGAATTTTCCCCATTCTACCGTTAAAAGCTCGTCAGTTTACCTTGAATTCTTTGTCCGGCGGGAACCAAATTAGAGAGAGCTCTCGTTGATTTTAAAAACTGTAAAAAGCTTTGAGGGGACTGTTTAACGCTTGGCCTTGGCATTGAAAAGGTCAAATCAATGGAAGCTTGGGGTATTTTTTCAATTATCTACTTTCTTCCTTTTTAAACCAGCAACATTAGCCACCACCATAACTATATCTTTGCAAAGCATCTATTAAAATGGTATACAAAATATACTTAAAATAATCATGAAATATACCTATCTCTGGTATACTATTTACTTTTAGTAAAAAGTAATCATTACTGACTTTAAATTAATTATGAGGGAAACTGAGCAGAAAATGCAGAATTCTGCAGGGAAACTTAAGATTCCTCTCTTTTCATAGTTTCATTATATTCCGTGCTATATCATTCAGTGTGTAATGTCGAGCATTTTAACAGAATGCAAGAAACATGAATTGCTTAATGCAACCAGCTTTCAGAAATAATGTAATATCGGCTTCGAGCGGGGAAACTGAATTCTCTCCAAAATTTAGAAATGTAGTTTGCTTCATAATTAAATACACAACTCCAAAAGCATTTTCCCTTTTTTTAGAAGAGCAATACAGAACTGTTTTTATCGTGACAATCATTCTATAGCTTCATGAATCATCGTAAGAGAAAGTCTAACCATAAAAACTGTATCTTTGAAGTTGTTTACTATTCATCAACCGACAGTGAAACCAATATTTATATTTAGTAGAAATAAAATTACCTGTATTTACATTGAAGAGACAGACAGTACAGTCACTTAAGAACTCATTCGTTTCCTCGATTGGTTTGGTTATAACTCACACTATTTTAACGGACACATTTTAGAAAATGAAAAAAGTTACTGTTGCTTCTATTTTATATCGACTGTCGCCTAAATGTTGGTCAAAAAGGAACGAATAGGAACTTTGATAAAATACCAACTTATGTATATTTTCGACTGTATCACTGAAAAGATAACAACTTTATCATTCGCATTTCTTTTTGAAAATCCCGGTATTTAGAAATCCTTTGTTTTGATATGCATCTTAAAACACTTAAACATCTTGAGTTAAGCGGTTTACCTTTGTTTATTTTCAACAATGCATAAATTTGTCCTAAAGTGCTTGTCCCTGCTTAATTGTGTAATTCACAGTGTTTGACAAGTACCAAAAGAGTCCAACGTTCATTTAATATTACGTCTATTAATTAGTAATTTTTTTCTTAATCTTCAGTTAACTCACACTCTGTGTTCTTCGAAGTGACAGAGCTGAGGTTGCATCGTGCTCAGCTCCCGGACTGACATTTGAAGAGAGTTTGTCTTTCTCTTTGCTACTGGGATTCTTATTATTTTCTTCAGGATTGCTTCCTAATTTCTTAATTTGAGTCTCAGACATTGACATGGCCATTCGGACTCTGTAAAGCCAGGATTTGTCCTTAAATGATGAGGTGACTGTTAATGCTTGTATAGCTCGTTCCCACGTTGTGTTTCCAGTCAGACTTTCGTACAGATCGATGGTAGAGCGGGGGATGCTTTTACCCGTCGAGGAATAGAAAAAAGGCCGTTCCCAAACCCGGTCCCCACTGGTTGGAAGTAAAGGAATAGAACAGTCTAGACTAGCTGCTCTGTTGCGCCTTTTACGTTCAATCTCACGCTTTTGTGTCAGTGTCGGCTTGTCAGATTTCACCGAGGAATTAGACTTTTGATCGGAATTTAGGACGCTGTCCTTTCCACCACTGAACCGAGCCGGGCCCGAGGCAACCCCGCCAGCGGTGCGAATGTAGGCTGTGTTCCCTCTCTCATTCTTGGTGAAATTTACGTTGGATTCACTGTCTCCACTTTCACGGTGTGTCTCGGCAACTGAAGCCCGACGGGATTTACGTGCGTTATTGGCAATGTCGGGCAAGACGACTGGCATGTCCACAACACTACGGCTTCTAGGACGTGGCAAAGGATCTACTCTAGCATGGTCCTCGTTAATTTTGGAGAGATATTTATCGCGATATCTACTCACAACGGACGGAGTCTTAGTGCCGTATAGGCGTGGCAGTTTGTCCACCGTCAAAGTGTGTTGATTGTCTGCAAGAGAGGCATGGGTTCCCCGTCTGGTTATTTCAAGATTTTTGGCTTTCACGCTTTCCAGTGATCGAGTCTTTGGACAAGAGTTCATGAGACTTTCTGTGAAGCCATCAACGTGGACACCTTGACCGCATAAGGCACCTGGCAGGTTTGTCGATTTACGATACTTCACACTGGATTTCTCGGGACCATGTACGAGTAACACCTTATCTTTCGCCTTGTCACACCACCGTCGAATTGCTGAATAAATGGTAAGAGGTAAATTCATGGCAGTAAATTGTACACTGGCCCACTGTTTTGTAAGAAGGTACATGGCCACTTCCCTCTGTTGCTTTCGAAGTGAGACATTCAAAGCCGTCAATCCCATGCCATCTTTACTGGTCACGACACAGATGTTGTTGAAAACAAAGATACGAAGGACGCTAAGCTGGCCGTGTTCCGCTGCTTCATGCACTGGCGTTTTATAGGCCTCGATGTGTGAGCTTCGGCACCATTCTTTGGAGGGATGGTCGCCCACTTTCTCATCAGCACGTATCCCGTTTTTCAGCATAGCAGTGGCTAAATCTATGTGGCCGTAGTGTGCTGCTATAAATAGTGCTACTCGCATCTGGAACTTACATATTGTCTCATCAGTCTGGTTAAAATAACGAAATACCTGTTGAGTGTGTCCGATTATGGCAGATTTTAGGAATTCATTCCAACCATCTATAGTTTCCATCTTCAAGGTGCAACCTACTTCAATCCCGTACTGGCTCAGCAGATTAGCGTCAAACATCTCCTTTCCAGATGAGGTCAGGATGCGGTACACCGTGACTGGTAGACCGATCTTACGGGAGATCAACAGTCGCAACTCAGCAACCATGGAACTGGAGAAATCCAAATTGTCAATGATTTCAATCACTTCATCATTGAAGCTGCAGTGAACGAAAAGTTTAGGCGTAACCTCCTCTCTCACGCTGCATTTGAGGGTGGAACCAGCATTGACACCAACTTCACTCAGTACCCAATCATCTTGAAGCTCTGCTCCATGGTAGGACAACACGATGTACTTCTTCTCGCTGCTACTCTTAGTATCAATTCCAAACAAGTCTACTACCTTGTCCTTTACTAAATGTACCGTTTCGTACGTCTGCACATCTAGGGGCAGTCGTTTCTTATTGTACAATGCAGATATTCGAATCATTTTGAGTAAAGTTACAACTCTTGGTCCCAAAAAATAATCAAATGCTGTTTAATTCGTCGCTTCACACCGATCAACAACAGTTCCTCAAAGGTGTGGTGTTTTCTCAGAAATGCAAATTCTCTAGACCATCGCTCTCTTTTTGAACTTCGCCAGACAGCCACATCGTCACTGTTTCCCGTCGTGTTAGTTATGCATCATTCCGACAGAAGGAGACGACAGAATCTGTTTGCGCAGTTCTTGTGAGAGAAAAACCACTTATACTGAGCAATTAAGCAGCGTGGCTGCAGCATTAATTACTTGTCGTCAAACACACAGTACTCGAAGTTTGATCACGAACTCTCGAGTATATGCCAGATGAAGTATTATGTCTGGTGATGTGAGGTAAGTTAGCCACGGACTTTCAGACGTTTAATGGCCCGGACGCACCCACTCATCTCCTCTGTCACACAGGCAGAGACCGATCGAGTAAACAACAAAAGACAAACGGATAAACATTCATCGGTCTCTAGGCACGTCCACCCTCCCCATCGTCTGCATTGCTATATTGATTTGGGATATTTCACTCTCAAACTTGATCTGCCTTTTTGCTATTGTAACGTGTATTTCATGTAAGCACGAACACTGCTTTGTTTATTGTTTGCTCGACCTACTGATTGCATTATAGGTTTCTTCTCTGTCTGACTAGATTTTTATTCAGGGAATGGTCCTCTGAGACGAGACTGTATGGTATATTTGTAATGTTTGGTGAAGCACTAGAAATATATCAAGTAAAAAATCGAAGTTTGCATGGAGATGTAAAAATGAACGAGAGTGTGCTTTGAAACCGAGTCAAGTGTAACAATCTTCCCCTTGGAATATCTCCTGAAAACATTAGAACAAATTGATCAAGTTGGCTGAGGCTTTTCCGTGTCATTGAAATACCAGTTCAACAAATATTCTTCTTTCAAATTCTTACGAAAAATACTCCTAAGCTAATAGCTTATCCTTTTTGTTTAAAGTTGTCATGTCCTCAATCACAATTGATAAGGTGTTTTCACGAAGGTTTTTTAGGATTTAAAATTTAACGAAGGAGCCTCGTATAACCCCAATAAAAATTTCCTTGTTTTGACATATGCAATATTTTTTATGTTTGTGTATTTTGTGGGTTCTTTGTCCATATTCAACGATTTAGATATTGCACTCATTTTTCGGTGTGTCCAAGAATACCGTTTGTGCCAACAGAGGGCGCTGATATAAATCGCATCACTGCAACACATGCATCTACATGTATAAGAAAATCAGACGGTGTCAATAATCTCCTACACGATTGCAGGTGCAAATGCCTGTGTGAGACTCTAACCTGCTATGACGTGCCATCGAGGCGTTAGCAAGGTTGTCCATAAGATTGTGAAGGTATTGCATTTTGGGCATTACGTATGTGTTGCTCACTTCCTGCTATGTCTTTTTTAGACGGGCTTGGTAAGTTTAAGGAGAGTCCATCAAGGAAAACAAATTGTATTCTGGTAACAGTAATGTATTTTGCATTTTATTTTAGACAGAAAAATCTGGCATATACATGTATGTACCAGCCTGAGGCTGTCAGCATGCACCGGCAAATCAATTAAATCTAAAAACGCAATAATCGGCTGTACAGTGACACTTTGTACGGTCATTTTTTGTAAAGGTTTATCAAAACATGCATGGTGATAATACGATGCACCCAGCTACTTCACGATAACTAGGGCCTACCGTATACCGTGTATTGTCATGGGACTAAGGTCACAAATTCATGAGTCCTCGTTGTTCACCCACGCCCGCTTGCGTTGTAATGCCATAATTGAGTGAATTTGGACGGCACTCTCATTGGGGCTCCACAACGTTACAAATACATAAAGAATTTGACCAAACAAAGATAACTATGTACATGTATACCTAGAGTAACCCTTTTCCTTGTAACTTTCAAGCATGACAATACAGATTAGTCGAAACTCGTATGGGTACATCATAGTTAATTCCTTCCTCGTGAAGGCATGAGTTTGGTATGGAACATTTTTGCAGACTTGTCAAACAAACACGTTATCTGTAAATAGTTATTGATACTTGTAGTCACTTATACTACTTAGCATCAGATGGCACTCCAACTAGCCAACACAACCTCCAAGTATACGCTTTTGATTTGTCCTGAATCATTTAAAGAAATTTGAAAGTATTGTGGAACCCCATGAAGAACATTTGAAATCGTGTTTAACATATCCAGTAAAAATACACATAGATTTTAGATATATTTTTCTCTGAACGTGATATGAACAACGTGACATAAACCATCAATTTATTACATATCTGCGTCAAATAATTATCCTCCAACACAACATTTAATGATAATTGTCATCTGAATGTCCTTTTTACATTTGACTCAGTACGAAGTCCAGTCATTGCCAGGTTTATGGGTTGCTGTTCGTGTCTAATTATACATCAGAATGTTACTTGGTCTAAGAGAGCTGGGTAATAAAATTTCATTTAACGACATGACTCAGCAGATTTTAAACAATGTTACAACCAAAAGCAATGTTACAACCAAAAGCAATGTTACAACCAAAAGCAATGTTACAACCAAAAGCAATTAATGTTACAACCAAAAGCAATGTTACAACCAAAAGCAATGTTACAACCAAAAGCAATTAATGTTACAACCAAAAGCAATGTTACAACCAAAAGCAATGTTACAACCAATAGCAATGTTACAACCAAAAGTAGCAAGTGTGCATTGCACAGTCACTTTGATTTCCATGTTCAATTCGCACTTAAACTCCGAAGCTCGCACAACAAAATCTTCACAACACGGCATATATGATGGGCAGTTTGCATTCATAAAACATTTTACTGGTCCCATTCAACGGAAAACGGATCATACATATACATGTAGCTTAGATTAAAATCGCATTACTCTGTGCCATGTTCTTCGTCATCGAAAGACTGATTCCTAGTTGGCCTGGTAATATGCACAGCTGCGTGTTAAATAACTTCAGGTAATATCTACAGAAATAAGCGGCGCAAAATCATTGCTATTTCACAGTTTTGCTTAAACGCGAAGGGTCTGTGCGAAACATGTCGCTTTTTGAACTTGACGGATCGATGCAGATGACGTATCTGTTGAACTGTGCCATACTAACTGCAAACAAGGTATTACCTTGAGAAGACCACGCTTAAAGACACGGTACTTGAAGGCGTAAATGAACGGGTTGACGATTATGTTACAGAAGGCAAGAATGATAGTCAGGCGAAACATCGGACTCGTTTTGTCAATGTCCTGCCAAAGGTTGAAGATCAGATAGCAGATCTGGTTCGGCGACCAACAGACACAGAAAGCCACGCTCACGAAAATTAAAGTCTTGATCACGTTTCGACGGGCTCGGACTCGATAGTTGGGAAGCGTGCTCTTTTTACGATCATTAGACGGAGGAACCCAGGCGTTACCGATTAATGACGGGGTAGTGCTACTGGGACGGCTACGCTCACCAAATACCGGCTCCACGCGGTTGTTCAGAGATTTCGCGATCCGGATATATACAAATGTCATCAAAGCAAGGGGTAAGAAATACTGGAGTGCAAATGCCGTAACACCAGCAGCAACTTGTACCTCTTTGCTTGTTCGAATACCACATCTTCCAGTGTTAGGATCGATGGAGTGCATGAAGATCCAATACGTCTGATACACGTACCCCAACAACCAAGGCACAACAGCAAGACAGACAGTGCGGGGCCAACGGAAGAGTTTTTGATATCTCATTGGTGAAATAACAGCCAGGTAGCGCTCCATAGTCAGGCAGATCAAGTTAGCAGTAGATGCCAAGATTGAGCCCCAACATGGATACTTAGAGTACCAGAACACGCAAACAAATTGACCAAAGTCCTTAGAAAGAGCAGGTGCTGGAAACTGTACCACAGGTAGAACATAGCAAAATATCAACATTAAAGATGCGAACATGTCAATTACAGATTGGTTGATGATGAACATGTTTATGACTTGCCTCGTCTGTGAGACCCGAACTAGAACATAGATGACTAAACCATTATTAAATATTCCTACCGTACCGATGATACCGTAAGCAACTCTCATGATAAGAGGGTCACCTGACGAAGAAGCGGTGGTCATTGAGGAGTCTAGAGTCGTCAACACTGTGGCAATAGTTGTGGCCATGATGGTTGATGAACAGCGAAACTCCGACTGATAGCTATACTCAGAAATGGTCTTTTAAGAATAGTTTAATTGCCGATCTCGTCCACGATTCGTAGTTGTGAGGCGAATACCGGACTTCCAGTCATTTCACAACTCCTCCATTACGTCTTGTAAATTACACCTTTCAATAAATGCGACACTTTCCAATACGTGAATCGACACAGAAGTACAGTTACGATCGCCTGAGTCAGGAACCAAGCAATTACAGCATATTCATTGTGATGAAAGGGTAAGCTACCGCCTTTTATATAATCAGCATCTTGATTTCCATGCGACAGATTCTCGTTTTACGAATCAGTTTACTTTTTCAGTGTACCTATCAACAAATTGTTAGGTATCCATGATTTGTAAAGAAACATCAGATGCTCAACGTCAGACGCCAAAAGCAGCCAACGACAAAATGAGTTACCAATTGGGGAGCAGTACCTGTAATTGGTGGAAGTCAATGCAGTTCCAAATTCCTTCCCACTAGCAAATTTTCCACTCCTGTTCTCATCACCAAAAAGGATCAAGATTTGCTGAACAATTCTTTTAATGGACAGCAGATGGATGGAGACAGTTTACAAGCTCGGAGTCCTGTGAGAAATGTGTGTAGTCCTGATGTTTCGCGCATACGCATCTGGTAATGCCTTGTGTGATTCACTGGACAAATTCACGCACGAGATGAGTGCGTGCCGTCTCCAACCAACCAAACGCTAGAGACACGAGCAGACAGGAGTGTTGCCGCGGGACTACGGCCATACCTCATTAAGATATCTTCTTGTGTCTTAAAGTATGCCAGCAAATATGTACACGGACTAAGATCAATACCATGTGGTTGGCTTCTCGAGTTACAATGGTAGTGGGAGTTATTGGATACATCCCACCGATAGAATCCAGCCGATATGTCATTAGATAATGAACACAAAGTCCAGGTTTACAAATCTGATTAAATTTACTTGAAGCCATTCGACTCCTATTATTTTTTAGAACTTCCGTCTAAATAACCACCACAACTGTGATGGTCCGTCCATCACATTTTCACTGATCGTATGTCGGAGTGATCAACACAAAAATAGACACAACTCAAAAATCCCCATACGTAGCGAACGCATCTGTCGCAAAAAAAATTCACAATTCTGTCAAGTGGGAAATAAATTGATCGAAAGAACTAAATTAGGTTGAGACAAAGAGTGGTCCGGACTCTTGAAACTCCCCTGTTGCTAAGGGCAGGCGCCTCGTCTTTGGGACAACGTCGGGCATGCAGGGCGACTTCAAACAAAGCAGAAAGAAAATCTCCACAAATTTCCTTGAGTGATGGAGCGGAAGACAAACACAGAGTTCGACGCGCGAAGACGGTCTTAAATCATTGTCCAAACACTGCCAACCAAGTGAGGTTTAAATTAAAAGCATCAACGGCAAGATTGGGAGGAAATCCTTGTCAATCTCAGCGTTAGTTGTTTTATTCAATGGTGTAATATAAAAATAATGAACTTTACTCAGTGTCATTTCAAAAGTGGTCACTAATACATATGTTTATACAGCTAGTAGTTCGACATAATTATCTTCGTGTCCTGGCTTCTTTAGGTGTTGCCTATATACACAACAATTGTAAATCGCCATTAGCTTTTGAAATAAAATCGAGTCGGTGCATTGTGGGCGAGCAAGCCCTAGGAAAAGCTCTGGTGGCACTGCAGAAAGATACCTCTTGGAATCTTTGGCTATAAGACGAAAAGCAATGGGAAAGAAAGTCCATGCACCTCCATTTTATGAAAAATCATGAATTCATCCAAACAGACAGCGGTTCTTAAAGATGCCAAATAATTTTCTTTTTACTTCAGTTGTACTTGTATCGCTAGCGATAGCATTATTACATTGTTTTTAATATTTGATTAGTAAGCTGAAGTAAAAAACGAATGTACCGCAGTGGTTATATTTCCAAAATGTCAAGGAATTACTGGGATTAATAGATGTACAAATATGGCTGTAATGAAATATTAACATTTAGCAATGGACAGAAACTCTTCGAATAAAGTAATGTCTCACTCAAAAACAGAGTGGAAAAGTTGGTTATCGAAAACACTTCTATTTCGGACATTAAATTTCATGATAACACCAGAATCTTGACCCAGTTAAATTGAGTCGGACAATACACTACCTAAAGGTTTACTACCTAAAGGTATTTACATATTACAAATATTCATTTAGTTTATAAACACACACAGTACGAAAGCTTGCCACACTAAATTAATTTACAATTTTGTATTTCTTTCAAAGTATGTTGGAACTTAAATTAAAAAAACTGTAACCTGTACAAATTTATCTTGTTTTGTTTGGAATCTAAATAAGCATAAAATACTTCAACAAAGCGTAAAGCTCGTCTCAACAAATGAATTTACAACAAATGCTGTATTCTTCTCAAGTACTTTCAGTTTAATAGTTTGATAATTGTAGCTCAATTGTGCCTAAATTTAACGTCAAAAAGAGCCCTTATCAAAACTTGTGAATCTAAACATTAGTGTTGTCTTCGAGTCCATCACAAGGTCCTGTAAGGCCATCACAAGTCATTTAGTCTTAAGTCAATCCACAAGCTATTCAAATGACCTGTGTCAAAAGCATTCTTTTGTCCTTGTTCATCCTCGTCTCTTTTGACTGGTCTTGCGGAAGAACTTTTTGCAAGTCTTGTGAAAGGACTTGTCTATAGACTTGTGAAGGTTCTTTGGAAAACATTTATGATGGACCCTACTACACAATTGCTTAGAAATCATCTTACTCTTCTTATATTTTACATACATAGACACAATGCACGTTAATTAAACACGACAAACATCGTTTTTATGGTTGTTAAAATATTTGAAAGGATATTTTGTTGTTCTTTGGTTTTTATGCTAATGAGTATATCTCCACATTCGTGAGCAAAAAACTGTGATGACATCCAAGAAAGAAAACCTTAATAACATTGGTTTATGCACCAATATACTGTTAACGTTTTGATATTTTGCTTGCCTGAATTCACTTGTCTTTGTTTGCTCATTGTTGTGTATGCAAACAGCAATACAACGGTGTATGATCCGTCTTAAGAAGAAGTAAATTATTATGAAGTAAATTATGGGTTCACAATTTGAATAGAAAAACCTATGCACTTAACCATGTCTTCTCAAAATGACATCCAGCAAGAGTACCCTTAGTTATCTGGGAAAGCGTGAGTAAGGAATGTCGAATAATTTCTTACACTGAAGATGGGCACAAAATTAGTTGCGATATCTTCTACAAAACTGTAATCACTTTTTTTCTCTGTGGTTTGAGACAATTTTATGTATAGAACTGAGCCAAGGTACCAACTTCCTTATGCCGAATTATGTACAGCTAACGAATATACTGCACTCATTGCGTTGCAAGGTCATTTTAATTCGGGAAAGGAGGGTGAAGAAGGATATTCATCAAGATTTTTGCACTGGTCACCTGATCTCCGTAAAATCGAAAAGCGGAGATAGCGTGCTGCTCAAGGCGCAGTTTCAGGCATTGGGGCGTTCTTCATAGTGTCAAATTCCTGAAACTCACACAAAATAAATGTCAAGGGTGAAGGCGGTTGTGAAAAAGGGGCAATCATGGGGAGTAGGACACTGACAACAAATTGGGGGAGTAGTGAACCTCTTGCCCCATACTAAGCCAATGATTGCAGCCAAAGACTTTTAACGAGGTTTTTGAAACTCATGGTAGAAATCGGCATTAATACGCCGCATTCAATGGAAGAAGGAAGTAGCTACGGCTACTACTGAATGCTTCATATTGAGCTGTAGCCGATCTTTTGGACGAAGGCTCATACATACTCCTTGCTTTAATTGCCGTGTTAAAACGTTCCGTGAGATAGGGATTATTGTTGGGCTGCTGGCTTTGACAAGAATGGTTATTCGTAATGTTGGTTCATTCATTCTTTTGTTCTGTTCGCATGGCTAATTTCAACAATATGTCTCTTGTTTCTGAACCCATGGTGTCTTCTTTTTTGATGGTTTTCGGCACCGACCTGAGGTGGAAGGACATGTCTTTCGCCTTGCATCCTCCTCTGCCACCTTGCGCTTGATGTAGCCCTCTGCGTAATCTGCGTAGAGCGTCTCAAGATCAGATGACAAGAGCAGGTAACCAAGACCAGTACCCCCCACGATGCAGATGAGGAACCATGCGTTGTACGTCATGACAATGAGCATAAGTACGTAAGCAATGGTTATTTCACTCATGTTGATCAATGTCTGAAGTACATGAAAAACCACTCTGTCAATGTGAACAAAATAGGAAACCTCACAAACTGTTGACCAAATCAATCAGTTTACGATCACAAACTGTAAAATAACCAAACAAATATTCTCTGGAAAGTTACTCTAAACTTCCTATTGTTAGAACTGATAAAAAAGCTAATACGCTAAATGTTTGGAATTCCATATCTGCTGCCCATCGCGCGTCGTGCGTCACCCGCACGACACGCGATGCACGACGACGGCAGATATGGAATTCCATATAAATGTTATATCAAACTTCTTGTGATGATATCATTTATACTTTTTGTCAAGAATATTTCGATGGGGAAATTGAATCTCGAGAGCCATTTATGCACAGAAGCAAAGTTGTTATTTAACGCTAAAAGGGCCAGGACAGAGTCTGCCTCTCGCTATTTTTTAGCGGACTTTTTGTAAATTTAACTCTTTGCTGTCATTTTTGAAACGTCCCATTTACCTGGGACAGGAAAGCCAAGAATGCGTACTTTTCCATTGCCGCGCTTATGCGCGCTGACCGGCGAGCGGACTGGCACGCTGGTGGCCTTAAAACTCGATGAGCATAAAAAGCCATAACAAGATCGAGTTAAAACGACATATTTGTATTGATAAGGAGTGTCTTTACATGTAAGCCTATGCCAAGTTTAGAAATAAAAAAATCATGGCATGGGATAACCGAGTTCTTGAGAGTAGGATGAACACCCCCTTCTGAGCTGTGAGAGGAGCCAAAAAAACACCTGATTTTGGGACGCAAACTATAGAACACTGTACAGGAAATAAAATGGCAAGGAACAGGACTTTGAAAATAAACTTTTACCGGATTCCGCAAGTTGCCAATCATTTGATTGAGGAATTAGACTAATACACAGACCCATCAGCTTTCACCTTACCTGTAACCACGAGTAACTCTGCCCTTGATTTCTTTCTGTTCCCCACACTTCGTCTGAAATATTGCCCATCGGTCATTAAGCACTTCCAGTGACAGGCTTTTCCACATCTTCTCCAAGCGCGCTGTTTCCTGCTCTTCAGTTAGTTCATCCTGGCAACAAGTTACTCTGTCGGCAAGGATTTCTGTCTCATTGTCTCCTTGTTCTACCTCCCTCGCACCACCACACTCCTCAGGACAACAGCTGGTTTCGTTGTTGACCTTCATCTCCACTAGAATGTTGCCATTTTTCTCATCTATCTCATGGAAGGATGCTTTCTCCTTCCCCTGTGTCTTAGCTTCGTTTTCAATATATTTGATAAGTGGGGCTTTATCTGAACGACACCTCTTCAGCTGCGTGCTGTTACCATCTCCAGTTATCTCAACCCGCGAGGGTTTAGGAACTTTGCGAAGACATTTGCGACTGATACGCTTAAGACTCTCCAAGACAAATGCCGCGATGGTTAGACCAGCCAAGAATATGGCAAAATCTGATGGATGAAAGGATAGTCATTTTCAGTCAGAACAACCACAGAATACCATTTCAGAATTATATACTGTACTGGTAACCACTATTAATCATTTTTACAGTGTCGGCACAAAAAAAGTACACCGCAAAGCTGTAATACCCAAACAGGAAACACCTGGCACCCAATTCGACTTTCGTTGTCGGAAAGCGTCTTTGCAAATTTTCAAAAAGGCACAGCTCAGTGGTCAGTCACAAAATGAGATGAAAAATTATTTACGCCCAACGAATGTCCACAACAACCGTGGGCCCATTTGGCAGCTTAGCATGGGCACGGAGACGTAAGGTTTCTGGAAAATCCAGACGGGGGCAAAATACTTTCATGATGTCTGAATACATTCACCAAGGTTTGGAAATTTGTAAATTCAAGAAAATTCATGAAAACTGCATTCAGACCCCGGGAAATAATTTTCTCGGGACCGGCGCAGGTATAGAAACAACGTAATAAGATTATGAGAATATTCACTGAACATATATTTGTTCACAACTGGGATGGAAAAACTTACATCTACTTTAAAGCCCAACCGAAAAAGGCTTCAAAGGCTTTAGGGTTTTGTAGGTAGATTGGCCAAAAACCCATAAACAGTGAATTTATCTGCCGAAAATGAACTTGAGAGAAATAGGATAGAGGCAATTCAAGTTCTTTCCCGCCAACTGGGCCGATTTCGGAAACACGCGAGATCAAATTCTGTGGTTATGTTGGGTTGATGACAGGCATGCATGAAGATACATGTAAGCTAGCATCGATGGGGCCCAAATACATTAAAATGAGGAGTTTTGATGACGTGCAGAAAATTGCACAATATTATACAGTAATCTCTAAGATGCATAAACATGAAATCTTACTCTTAGCTAATCAAAATAATTGTGTGATTAGTTCCGGAATGAAGGAGTGCGAGACATTAAAGGCAGAAAGAAGTGTAATTTGCGTGGCATACACGTGCAATACATACACGTGCAATGGCAACGGACTAGTCACACGCCACGGAGAAATCAACGTAGGAGACAAGTAGTACCCAGACCTGAGCCTTGGGCCGAATCGCAGGCTACCTTATTGTAATGTGTGTACATGTGAAGCTTCTAGAAAAAGACAGCAACCCGCGTGCGTGCTTGTTTGCCGAGTCTAGATGTTTCAGTGTGTCGAAGAAAAACAAATAAACGCGAATTGGATTATTTTAGTAAAAGTGAAGACGCTGGATATTTGTCTAAGCAGTTCTCTGAAATTATCGGCAACAACTGGAAAGGTTTAAAATCTAACCTTAGTCAACGCGTTATTGCACAGCGGAAACGTCAAAACTAAGTCTAAGTGTGCCAGATTCCTGTCCGAAACTACAAAGTGCACAAGACTGGGATATGTTATATTTTATGACAAACACAAGGAATTATGCACTAAAACTTGATGGATTGAACAATCAACGTAGTGGACAGAAACCGCAGGCAAACTTTTCATTTTGAGCATGCCTCTACTACGAGACTCGAGGGTGAAGATGCACCGTGTACAGCTCAGCTGTATCTCCCCGTGATGTTTTGGGGTCACCGACTTATCATTAATACGTAATGAATTTCTGAAATCGGCGAAAAAGGGACTCGCGGAAGCCCACGTTTTGGACATTTTTCAACCATTATTGGGAAACCTGTTTCCTTTTTTATGGAAGATGGTTATGTCACGTGTTGTACAATGAGGAAAGAATGGTTTCTTTTCAATGCCTCTTTAAATTGTCAAAGTTCCATTTTTCGAGCAGTAAATGAAAATCAGCGTTTCGTTAGTTTTAGGGAATTGTAACTCCGTATTACGGCTTTATAAGGCCAAAAAACAAATACTCGGTCTCTGGTCAGACCAAAGTTCCAGAATTTACGCAGCGATGCGGGTTTTTTTTGGGGGGGGTGGGGTTGGCTTTTTAAGACTGGCAAAGGGCACAGGTATGAGTGGCATATTTAATCAAAGAGCAAAGGCTAGTAGTGGCACGTCGCACGTCATGCCGCCATTGTTGCTGATCAGCTGGCTGCAACTTTGTAACCTACCATGGTCTAGTGTGTTCAAGTTCGACATTAACATCATGCAGTCGTAAAAAGAATCTATCACCGGGTACGAGCTACCCACGAATTAGTGTGCTTCCTTTGGAACAAATTGCCCCTCTGACTAGTGGACTTGTAGCCGGGACTCGAGAACATTCAGGCGGTGCGGAAATAGAGTGCGCTGATTGAAAATTTGGAGGAAAAAAATGGGAAAAAATGACGAGCACGTTCAAAATCGACGCGCGCGCTGACCATAGACCGACTATGTTTTTTTGTTTTTTGCTTTTTTGCCTAACGCTGTAAATGTCTTCTTGGCGGAGAACAGCCACCGTACGAAACCTAAACAGGCCCACATCACTGCTGAAGGACAGTGGCATGTCAATGGGTCAAGCCTCACAAATCCTTTCTTAAGAGGCAACGAACCGAGCTACGAGATTTATGGAAAGAAAAGACTGAAACTTGTGTTTTGCGCTTGTTGTGTCTGGCACTATGAATAGGGGAAACAACTTTTTATACCAAGTACATGTAGGCCTGTAGCCTCAGAAAACCTTTTTTGTAATATGTGACCCACTCTGTGAAAATGAGTCACAAGTCGCCAGAGTCAATTTGGAGTAACAAGTTCTTTAGAATAATTTTGCACTGTGTAAATCAATGGGAACCCACAGTATCCACTTTGGTCAGGATGCCAAACTAAGCGACACATCAAAAAAAAAAATTTGCTCTTTCCAATACAAACGATAACTCAAAAAAGTGGCTCTGGCGATTTAAGACTCATTTTCACATATTTTAAAACTTTTAGAGTGTACGCGCATCTGCACTTGTAAAGTTGCTACAGGAACGTTGCTGTGCACCGTCATGGTCTTCTGTTATTTAAAAAAATCACTCTACAACACTGTGCGCCGTTTTCGAGCCGTGGGCCCCTGAATTTAAAGTTTGAGAGGTTATAATAAAATTCAAAGTAATAAAAAATTGGAATGACAATGCATTATGTCATTATAATCATGGATACACGAGCAAAATGTTCCCGCACTTAAAACAAATGCTTTATTAAAAGTGATTTCGTGGTCTTGTAAAAGAAGTTGGCTTACATTTCTGCTTCAAGTGCTAACAGCAGATCACCTTGTTTTCCATTATGAGTAAAGTGAAATAGTAAAGTAAAGTATATAGTAAAGCGAAAAGTGTTTCCACTAAGGGAACCAGGAAAAAAGACTCTAAAATTTCGGTAGTGCTGTTCATAATTGCTTAACACAATCTGAAACAAATTTTGATAACGGTTAGTTAGCAATACTTTGAGAAAACGAGATGAAACAGGTTGTCGCACACTATACTAAGTAATGATTTCATTTTAAACCTTCCAGTCTGCATGTGAAGTTCTTGCGACATTCTAGATTGTATCAAAGTCATGATATCTTGAACCATTTTCATAATGCTTCGAGAAATCATATGACTTAGAAACAAGGTAATGTTTTCTATTTCAAGACAGAATAAATGTAGCACATCATACCCAGTTTACTGGTCCTATTACAGACCATATACAATTGTACAGGGCATACAAGAAAACACAATGATGACAAAATATAGTAGAATAAGTAGACATATAAAGAAAAAACCACACAGTTGCAAAAACAGTTACACCAAAAACACCTGTCACCCAACCCCAAAGACGCTTCATAAAAAGGAAGGAGATAAAGAAAACGCTAAATAAAAACGACTATTACAAACTACCATAAAAGGGGGAGAGAAAAGGCACAGATAAACCTGGCTCAACTTTGCCGAACGTTCACGGGCTGGTTTGCGTTCGTCTGCGTTGTCGGTGACGCCTCCGTTTGGCATGTTTTCATCTGTCCACATTGCAGTTTGCGTCTTGATTGCTTTGCTCTCTGTGTTTCTTACGTCGATATGAAAACCAGGCTCCAACTTTTCATTCTTAAACACCATTGGGCCTGAGAGCCACTGGGCATATGTTGAGAATGTGAAGTAAAGATCCTCTAACTCCCAGAGGTTGCACTTGTTACTTGGCTTTTTGCCCCACAACACCGAACTTTTGCTCTTATCAGAAAAGGCAGCGAAGGGGCGTTGATCTGCCTTTAGCAACGATTCCAGAATAAATAAATACCTTACCTGTTTTGTTAGTAATTGTCAGTCCATCCATCAACAAGTGCGATACCGGTACACTCAAAGAGAAATAGAAGGATTCCTACAAATGTAAAATGGGAATGAATCTCTACGTCAATTCTTAACTGAAAAAAGCGTTTCTTGCTTTTCTATGACAGGTCCATTCACGCTCAGAACACCTGCACCGTGAAACCAATCAAAAGATTTGGTTTACCATAGCCATGTCACACTGCGCTCTATGCATAGGAACATTGCGTTATGCGTGGTTGATGACAAAAGTAAACAATTTGTCGATTGCTCTCATTGACGGTAGGTCAGATTTTCTTCATCTTGGACAAATTAAATCGCAATCGCAAGTCTAAATCCCTCATGGTAAGCAACAGGTTGCAGATTTTTTTTCGATTTAAGTTCAGCAATGTATGAGTAGCGACATGACGCTTAGACGAAAGTTGCAACACTTCCCAATAATAATACGGGACACTGAAATTTTTACCATAAGAGTGCGTTTTGTGAGCACAACTGAAATTGCGTCATTAAAGATTTTCAGTCGATTCCGGACACACACCAAGGTGTTTCACTGATGGGATCGACAGGGAAAGGGAGAACTGCAAGCAATGATTTAAACTCCCTCTGAAAACTCATCGGGGCTACTATGTTTATGGTTGAATGTTGATGCAAGAGACCAAATACACAGAATAGGTGAAGGTAACAAATAACCATACATTTCTCCAGCAACATGCCTCCGGGCAAAATTCTCTGAAAAACATTATTATCCTTTACGAAGCACTACAAAAATGTAGGTTTGAATAATAACCTGCTGACTCGACCCCTTTTTAAAAGGAACGCGTTCGCCTACTAACAAATAACCATACATTTCTCCAGCAACATGCTTCCGGGCAAAATTCTCTGAAAAACATTATTATCCTCTTACGAAGCACTACAAAAATGTAGGTTTGAATAATAACCTGCTGACTCGACCCCTTTTTAAAAGGAACGCGTTCGCCTATAGTAGGCGAACGCGTTCCTTTTAAATGTATGGTTATTTGTTACCTTCACCTATTGCATGCTCACCGCGCCATGTGAGGGTAACTCAAGTGCGCTGGTGTTTTTTGGCCACTGTAATGTTCAGCATTTTAAAAGTATTAGAAAGGCAAGCTTAACGCCTTGGTCAACGCTCAGGCGGCGGATGTAGCCAAATTCTAAGTCGGACACGTAACAGCCTCACATTGGTGGGTTTTACCATGGTTTTGCACATTGTGAACATAATGTGGCTCACTATGTAATGATTTGTGAGGAAAAAAATGGCTCTTGCCCAAATTTACAAACATATTTTGATCTTAAGGTGAGTCATGTTCATGTAAAGTGCTTTACATAAACAAATCTGCTCAAATGCACTTTTACAAATCCCTTCGGCGCCCCATGTGACTTGAGGGGGTTACATTTCCCTGGTCGGGGGATCAAATGCACACAACAAATTTCCAATGAATCCAACAGTGAAAAAACTGGAATTCATGTTTTGGGATCAGCCTGTTTCAGACCAAATGAAAATAGGCGGTTATTTTACTGAATTTTACTGTATTCTAATCGTTGCCCTTTTTGTCATTCCTAGTTTTAAGATTTTCTGTACCTGAGGATAATCAGCGTGTTGATCTATTATTGTAAAGGTCTAATCACGATGCAAAGAAAAACTTACATGGCTTAAGACTAAATTTACCGTCCGAGCGCAGATTGTTCATGATACGATTACACGCAGGCCCAGTTGTGTAACTTCATCACTGGCAAAAAAACAAGAACACTTGTTTCGCAGTTCGATGTTCACTTTTATGCACATAAATTTCGCCAGGACCAGCAGGAAGGTCAAGGGTTAACAGTTTGAAACTGGACGCGTGGGGGGGATTGTAATACTCGGCCTCGGCTCTTTCTCCAGCTTTGCCTAATTTTAACCTCCTAACTCGGAGTTGTTACTCAATAAATAAGTCATTTAATAAAAATAATAATAGTAAGACTAATATAGCGCCTTTCCATCTAGATCATGGTGCTGCGCAACACATGATAAAGAAACTGTATTGGAAAAAGATGCTTCCTGAATGATAATGTGTCCTGTGATCTAATGCTTGATGATATTAATCCAAACCTTGAACTAAATTTGATTGTTGTTGGCCTTAATGAGGGTATCGAAATTGAACACCCGAGACAGAGTAGCTGGTTAGGCCCACGGAACAATCGTGTACTCCCACACAACCGGCGAAAATTCCCAGCTATATAAAGCCATAAGTGAAATGTGAATAAAAGTGTAGGAGTACTACATAAAACCTCGAATAATATCAAGGACTAAAAAAAAATCTCCGGGAATGCTGGTCATTAAGCAGTGACAGTTTCCTTTACACGATGGCAGTTTTGTGGGATTTCTCAAGCATGAGAACATGTCGCAAGCTGCGAGGTTTTGAGAAATTTCGAATCACTCCCATTCCAAAGAGGGAAACACGCGTTTCTTTTTAAGAAATTCGACGTCGTTTGAAAAGGACTACTAGTAATAGATAGGTCAGGCTCTCTGCCAAGCTTGCTGCTAACGTTGCTGCCAGTTGAGAGTAGTTGCCATAATGAAAAGTTAAAACAGGTTGGCATGATTGTTTCATCCATATAACCTCAGTGCAATAAACAACAACCTGGCAATCCAGTTACGTTTAATCGAGCGATCACGGGTACTCAAGTGCATTGCATACATGCTGGAAATTAACAAACTTACCATTGTGGTACAGGCTATCCAAGTACGTTGTGCTCCCTTAAGGTTGCCAGCAATATGGCAGTGCCCACTGGCCGCACAAGGCTATACTTCGGTCATCAGGCCGACAAATCTGACAGGAATTGGCATCCGATAATCCGGTGGTCAAGTTTGGGGTAGTTCCGTGTTCCTTCCAAACCTGGCAAATGATTTGACAGGGAAAAAAGTCTCTGTGTGCCTTTTCACAGTATTTCCTCACTAACCTGTAATTTGAAGAGACTGGTCAATGAAGCACTGGCACCCAAAGGTACTTTAAAAGAACAGTTTCCTTATGCAGTTCCTTTGAAAAGTGCATGATCGAAAAAAATCTAAAGCTCAGTCGCGTGCATTATACCGGTTGACGTATTCTGGGTTTAATGCCTAGTTTCCTTGAAATGCTAACCCCATGGTAATTCCAACAACGATCCCAATAGCGTAGTTTCCTCAAGCTATAGGACCGTCTGTCCAAACTTGATTTCAACAAGTTCATGCACTTACCTGATATGCTCCATTTCTCTGGGAAGGATTTGTTTAGACTGTCTATACATGCATAACCATTCTAGGCAAACAAAACCATAAAAGCCTTCAATACTATAGCGCCACAGTCACAGGTGACAAGGTGAAATTGTTGAAATAGAACTTCCTCCTCTTGGCACGTATGTTCACTTTGTGCACCACTTAGTTGAGAGCTAGCGCGTGCGCACTCGATCACTTTACTGTGGATTTCGAGGCAGGCGACGTCGAACATCGTTCCGACATTTTTTTTCGCGGATGAAGATCATAATTACTTTTAACAAAACACAAACAAATGAAGTTCACGAAGATAACCTGATAACTAAAAATGGATTAGACAACATTAAACCACCGCATTATATGAACCCAGCTGCACAAAATTTGAAACAAATTTTGAAAAAGTGATTTTTACAAAAAATAAACACAATCAGATTGGAAAGAAAATAAACGGTCTTTTCCATTTTAAAACAACTTCTCCAGTTTATCCAAACAACAAAATAAAGTGCCGTGTATATTATGGTCTAATAAAAACGTCGGCAGTATTTTCAAGTTACTGCGAATTGCATATCTTACACAAGAATCATTTCTCCGTAGTAGTTACGTGCGTTGATGGAGTACATGATCATGTACACGAACGTGCACATGCGCACGCGTAAATCATGGTTGACCGGTCGACAGAGAGCCAAAATTGAAATTGATCAAACTAACAAAGGACAATTCGCAATAGCATAAACGTAACATGGTTACCTTTTTCAAACACTCTTTCAGTTATAAGGATACGCAGCATGTGTGGACTAACTGGAGAACAATTCAAATTTTCAAGTTTAAAATACCGTTATTTGCGTTCAGAAATGTAACGTACACAGATATCTTTCACCCCATTTTCTCCCAAATGTCACTTTTGATTAATAAGAAACACATCACAAAATGAAATCTGAAACCTGATTATATTTCTCTGGTATAAATTCAGCAAACGTTTACGCAGTGTGGAAAATCTCCACAGATAGATTTTGGTGTAGTCATTTGCTGCTTGGCGTCGCCATTTTAACAAGCAACAGAAAGTGACCTCGACTTTGCCGAATTTTAGCGCATGAGCACAAACTAAGTGGAAATGGTGAACATATGTGTTGGGGTGAGATACATGTAGCATTAAATGGCGCGCATGTTACATATCCCTATCAGACCCAAGACCTCTTTGGTCATTCATGGGTTCCTTACATACATGCAAGTTCCCTTTGTTTACCAGGCACAATTAAGCAACTTTTAGTGTATAGCGCCCTCACCAGTCGAGATATCACGAAAGGCCACTCCTGCAATGACACCCCATTGACCAATATATAGTAATGATATCAAATAAGGAGAATATTACTGAAGTAGTTTTGGTAAAAATCATGGGAAAGAGTTTCTTACTCGAAGTTCTTTTTACACCCTGTGTACAAACCCTCTGAGACTGGTCTGAAAAATTGTGTTTTCATTGCAAAAGCTTGTAGGCCTACTCTGTCGCTGCTAAAATGGACTTTCCTGACCTTTAACTGATTTCCAGGGACTAATTGATAACTGAAGAGGAAAATGAGTGAACTTCTTTGATGGAACCCTTTCCAAATAATGAAGAACAATTGATAAAATCACAGGAATAAACTTCTTTTATTCAGGGGTGTGCTACATTTATTTTCGTCTACAAGAAGACTGATTGGAGATAGCACCACATTTAATTTGTGGCACATGAGGTTTCCGCTCCGATTTCATGAAGGCCTTCGCCTCCCACCCTCCCCAACCCGTGGCCGCCCCCTTCCAATGTTGCGTTAAAGGCTGGTGCGCGCCCATGGCGATCCACTGCAACCTTGGAATGGGAGGGGGAATGGGGGTTGTTGAATTGGGGCGCAAACTAAACTACCCGAGTCTGTGTTAACGCACACTGTGAGATGTTTCAAAGCATGTTATTAGACACATTGGTTTCTGGCAATTCTCACAAATCACAAAAGTCTGTTTACGTTGGGTTCTCAATCGTACTGCAAACAACACATTTTCTTTTTTGTCCCTGCCTACTTCCGGGATAATGTCCATTTGAAAGAAGTGTAGTTTCACGGGCATGTGGTGCTGACTTGCTCATCCTGCAGGCAGACAATAGTTCATCGATGACCTGGACCCGGAAATCCAAGCTAGGGGTACAGTCCACTAATTCAAGCCCCATTGAAAACAGTGTAAATTCAGCACCGTTCAGGGCCCATTAACATGCACGCNAACCAATTACATTTTTAATTATTCCCGCAAAACAAAATCACCCCCCCAAAAGTGATTTTTCCGAAGTCTGATTGCAGCCATTTTTGAAGTGGCAACCCTCAACTCTCTCGGGCACTTAGGACCAGTTTTCAACCGTAGTTTTTAGCCATGTTTGCTCTCATATGAAAGCTCAAAGACCCAGGGAGTTGATCCCGGCAACAATTTACACAATCTCAAAATCTCTCAATTTTGGGGGCCAAACAATCTCCTTTTTCAAAAGATACTATGGGGCACTTTTAATACTAATGAGCTGGCCAGAAAATCTCACTTGAATTAGTGGTCTGCGCCCCTAGTGAGCGGACGCTTTGTAGGGATGCTGTCATGTTGTACACGATGGTAGCATTAACCAAATAGATTGTCAGGAATTGCAAAGAAAACGCGTTTCTACCATTTCAGGGATCTATGATGATGCGTGTAGTACTGACACATTGTGATGCTAAGTCACTTCCGCCCACCATTGACGACTGCAGGTCTTTGGATTGTTCGACGTCCGGTGCAACCTTTTTTCGCAACGAATGTCTTTAGTGTCACGGTCACTTTTGCAGCCGCCATAATTAGTCACAAGTGTTGCACGCTTTTTGGCGTCCTGCCAAACAACACATAGTTTCCCCGCTTTAGAGAAATACTGGGGTGGATTATGTCGGTTCATGGGGACCGTCTTAGGGTTTACACTGTCTGGAATGCCTTGTATGGTATAGCGCACAGTTCCACGAGCTCAAAACCCTAGCTGGGACAACTTGTGTACAGGAGCGGTGGTAGTGTACCAATTATCCATGAAAACAACATGTCCCTTGTTTTCCAGTCCTTTGAGTAGGTCGACGACTCGGATAACTTGGCCTGATGCTGTAAGGTTGGGTGGATACTGTAATGGTTGGCTTCAGTGTACGCAACAGAGTGCGAGATCATTTGAAGGACAAAGCTTTTCAAAAGCAACTTGTAAGTGATACACTTACCTTTTAATAGTAGGCTTGTGCAAATATCAGATGCTACTGTTGCGATATATTGTTGAAAATTATATACATGTATTGCAACATTCGGTATAGATCTCTTGCAGTATCCTGTTTTGTCATTTCTTATGCAACCAGTGGGCAAGCACCAGTGTTGTTAGCAACAATTAAAGGTCATAGTAGCAAGGTGAACAATGGCAAATGTCATAGTTCATTTGATTAGCCTGTCATTTGGCTTCAAACTGGGTGACCTGTGATGGACCTGTGATGTAACTGGTGTAATTGTCATTGACAATGCCGTGCAGGTAAAGGAAATTGGCATTTATGACAGAAAAAACTCTGGGAAAAGGCTCTGTTTGATTCGAGTATTTGTAAAGAAAATAAGAATTAATAGTACAGTGCATACATAGCATACAGTGCTTATTAACATACGTGGGGTACGGGCAAAACCGTTATATATATAAAAAGAATTAATAGTGTATAAATATTTGGGGAAAATGGAGAAATTTATAAATGTGTGGTTTTTGGATGATTTGGAACTAACTCCCAAGGTGTACCACCTCGTACCCTTAGATTTTGTTTCTCCACCTCAAACCATGCATGGTTGATGTTCAACAGATAAAATACTTGACCACATTTGGAGGAAGGGACGTGGCAGATGTCGTGCGACGGATACTGAAGCACATCCTGTCCCATGAGGTGGCTCTTCTGTACAGCCTCAGCGGAAGAAAGGGAAAGCGACCATTTGATGCCCTTCAAATTTATGATCTTACTTGCAGTAAGTGTACAATTTTACATGTACTCCTCTTTCTTTACATACAGTGTACCCGTTTTTATCTACGTGTATATGTTTTGGAGATGATATCTCCCTCCCCCTCACTCACTCGGTTTCACGGTGGCAACTTTCCCACAGGAAAGTAATATCAATTGATTGCTTGCAGAGACCCGGGTTTTTCCTTGCTATTTTGTCATTCATAAAATCACATCTTATTGCAAAACAAAGTCTTGGAAGTTAAAATTCACAGTGGCGGCCAAACTCCTTTCATTTGACGTGTGATTACGTCACTTCCCAATAAACATGTTGACACTGTTCACAAATCACATGTACACTCTAGCTCTCACCGGCTTGGGGCGACATTCAAATGTCATGATGGTGTAAATTTCTTTTGAATTAGAGAAATTTTTCGGACATTAATTTTTGCTCTAGTTTTGTTCATTTTTTCCTTCTTTCTTTTCCTTTCCTGCAGAAGCAGTACGGTGTCACCCAAAAACAAAGAATGCAACAAATCGAGAAACCGATGTCATTGCTGGAAAGTAGCTTACTCAAGTGTGACAGGAAGGGGAGGTCGGAAACGACGGGAGGAGGAAAAGTGCCTTAGAATAGCTGCTGGTATTCCACATGAAGTATCCGAATCCGACTGACTCACCATTTTGGCATAAATTTTCTAACTAGCTGCATGACTTAGTTACAAGCACCAGTTATGAGAAGTCACTGGCATGTGACATCTCAGTGGGTCTCTGGTCGGTGCGCGCGTCGATTTTCAAGGTGCGCACGACTTTTGACGCGTGCCTCAAACGTCGTGCTTAAAACATTTCAACTTGCTTGTTGGATTCGGCACGGCGTAAGCACGGACGTTTGAAACCAGTTTGGCTCGGCAAATTAATTTCTGTGGGGAATAGGATTTTGACTCGTACCCAAGCACCCACCCAACAGTCGCCCCGGTGTATACCGCATTCCATGTGAATGCAGCCAAGTATACATCAGACAAACTGGCGCGAACCTTCCTACCTGGCTCCAAGAGCACCGTACGCACGGCTGACAAGGACAATACAAGTCGACCATCGTAAAGTGTGCACACTCCTCGGACCACCACATCAAATGGGACAATGCAGAACTCATCGGCCCCATCTAGGTCTGGCTTCCAAAAATCCGCAGGGCCAACGAGATTTTCCGGAACAACACCGACCAACAACAATTTCAAGTTCAGCGACATCTGGCGCCCACTACTAACACCCCAAGGCAACTCCCAACTCCGGGCAGTAGGGTCCCCCTAAACCGAAACCCATACCACCCATCCCAGGTGTTAGTGTCTTCTCTACCCGAAGCCACACCCCCGGCATAAGGGTCCCCTATACCCGAACCCAAGGTTTCCCGCCAATTCCTACACCTCCATGCTCCAGTACACGCGCAGCAATGCAAGCTATACAACCTACGTATTCCGTTTTACCCTCCACCGCTTCCGGGTTACTTTTATAACCGAGTTCTCTACTCGAGTCCGGCACACTCTCCTGAGGACGGCCAGATCATCCTGGCCGAAACGTCGAGTTAATATTCACCAGTTTTTCTAAGAGCCACACCTCTTCAAAAAGAGAGTGATTCCATGGTCACGTCATTTGAGGTTTTGGGTTATTGAAATTACACATTATTCCCCAATTTTTGGTGTGTTACATTCAAGCTATCATAGACCCACACCCTGCATATTTGTCTAAATCATTTGTTGGACATGAAATGCATGTTTTAGACCACGGACCATTTAAATGGTCCGTGGTTAGACGTCCTGCATGCCTCAGACCATGCCTACTGCGTGTCAGTGCCTACCCAATTTTTACAGGAAACTGCATCTAACCTTTCGTCCTGATTTACATTGCTTTACTACAGTGGCGTAAATCTGTGTCGGAAATGGGGGGATTGGGAAAGGTGGGGGTGACTTGCCCGGACATGAAAATTTGAAAAGCGGGGGCGGGGGTGACACCATATGACTCTATATAGAGGTAGATATTCATGATATTGATGTGCGTTACTTTGAGAAGGGTCGACAGATTTCGTTCATTGTCATGTGCACTATTATGAATCGCCCGTATTGACCACAAACATAAACACATTGACCCATAGACCACCAGTCTTGCGCGTATAACCGTGATTTCAAAAAGCGTGGGCAAGCAGTAGGCAAAACGCAACCTGTTTTCCATGGGCCGTGTGCGCGTTCCTAAATCGCGCAATTCAACACGACGTTCCAATTCACACACACGACATTCAATGGCTTTGTTCTCCTGTGCTTATATTACGGTTGCGTTTGAAACGATATTTTCAAAATGCTCCCATTTCAACATGAATCACTCTCCTGGACTGAAATTTCGACTGAATGTCCCTTATATGAAACACTTCAATTTGCGATGGATTCTTACGCATTAAAAAATTCTCTTTTTTGAGCGATTTCCAAAAATCAGTTTCGTGAAATCCTTGTGGTCAGTTTTTTCCTTCCTTCATAGTATTGTAACGAAACATTAGATGAGACTGCGTACCAGTCTGGTACTACCCGGCTTGGTGGTTCCACACGGCTTGGTGGTTCCACACGGCTTGGTGGTTCCACACCGCACGGGTTTTTGCGCGCAGCCTCGGCTAGTAATAATAAGGCAGCGTCGCAGTTCGCGCTCTCCCTCTTGCCCCCCCCCCGCGCTTCGCAGTAAGTTGATAGAGTGAGAGTGATATGGAACGCCAAAGAGGCAAAAACCTGGAGGCAACACATCGACCGTTCTTCAACA